GAAACGCCTGAGAACTTCTGCCAGACTACACGACGTCACTTCCCCCGAAACAGTCCTGTTTTTCATTTTCTCAACTGCTTTTAATTACTGTGCCTATCGAAGCAAACTACGCTTTGGCGGGAAACCTACGTTGAACCGCTGCCCTGATTAGTTCTACTGATAACGCTACTGACTTGTCGAGGTCTTTTTTTTTTTTAAGTTTTCGGAATAGACCACAGGGGCTACTGTGCCAGAGACAACCTTCATGGAAGAGTGACTTAAATCCAGGTTGCTATACTGTATATGTAAATTTGTATAACATTCAAGCACACATCAGTTCGAGTTCAAGAAACTAAACCACGCATTAGCCTGGACTCAGCGGAGCTACATACGATACGTAGTCCATAACAAATTGTGGTCAGTTCTTTGCTTCTAAACTTTCTGTCTTATGGCACACGAAAATAAGGAATTCCTGTTGCGTGTGAAGGGCTACTTTCAAAATTAACTTCGTTTTACATTGTTTCTATGAAACCAGCATGGCGATGAATCGCATGATCTAAGACCTGCTTCACGCTGGTTTCTTTTTGGCTTAAGATTGTATCCTGAAGATGGAAGCTCAATGTTCTTCCGAAACGTCGGTTGATTTTCAACAGGCTACACGGCGTTATATTACGGAAGATAGAACTCTTCAAATTCAGTTTCTTCCTCAGTAAGTCTTAACTTAAAATGCTTAAATCTTTGTTAAGACAGACTAAACTCTAGTACCATTCTCTTTCGAAGCTGAATAGCAACATCAGAAGTATGACTGAACGTTAAAAATAACTGGATGCCCTACCAGACGCATAACTCACAGTTCATTGGTATATACGATGTTGTATTCAGGCCTTGCATTCGGGAGAACATAGGTTCCATTTTCAGTCGGAGTTCGGCTTTTATAGCCGTTTGTTATATATTCCATCGGTACTACCAGATATTAGCGGCCTTGCGACTGTCTGATCCCCCATCCAAGGAGTCCTACCGACTAAGAAACTGAAGTGAAACGAAGCGTTTCACGGATGCCCTATGCCCCAAGTTGGAGCAACAGGAATGAAGAAGAAGAAGAAGAAGAAGAAGAAGAAGGCTACGTAGGATATGAAAAAGGGAGTGTCTCAAAACAGGCCACTGCTGTTTCCTTCCAAAATACCCATTCCCATTCATTCTCAAATTTGACACCGCATATAGATATATCGAGCAGGTTGGCACAGCGGTGACGCTCTAGACTTGTAATCGTAAGGTGATCGGGTTCAATTCTCGGCGGAGGAGGACACCGACTGTTCTGACCACGGTGTTTTATACTGTTATTCACTTTTACAGGTATATGCTGACAGTGTCCTGGTTAGGCCATTGTCACTTCGTTCAAGGTCCTTTCCAGTTTATGTTTCATCACTCTGGGCAATGCAGTGTACATACTGTCAGCGTGGTAGAGCAAACCATTATAATGGGACGGTCTCTGACTAATGTAGCTGAGCAAATGTCATTAAATACGTTTTGTAGTTAACTTCTCCTTTCACTTCGGTTTTTCTAGATCTTACACATTCGGTAGGACTCCTTGGGCGGGTGATCAGCTCGTCGTAAGGCCTCTGCCTGCACACAAACACAGAAAAGCGCACACACACACAAACTAAACGTCCATGCCCTGAGTGGGATTCAAACACACGATCCCGGTTTCGAAGCAAGCGAAGACAGTACATGCATTAGACCGCTCGGCTACCGTGGCCGGCCCATATTTTACGAAAACAAATTGAAGAAAACTCTTCTGTCCTAGAGGTAGCATGTTCCTGTGAAGCCGGCAAACATCTACACAACTACAAGGCGTCAAACATTAGAATACAGTTATCTTGGAACTGAGAAACAGGTCCCTTAATTTTCGGCAGCTGGTGCTTCAGTTTGTGACATAGACCTGTCTTGCAGTGCAATGAGATGAGCTGTCTCCGTACAAAATGCTACATCGCGCAGAAGCAATTAGAGAACGAACATTTCACTTTTAGTGTGGTTTGATAATGTCTGAGACATAAGGAAAACCATCAGAGAACTCCTTTCAGTTAGGAACTTCGGAAAGATACGGTATCAGCGAGCACGCGAGGCAGGTGGTCCGCAGCGCTGTCCATGCCATCTTGCGGATACTGTTACAAGTATTAGTATGAGGTATATCTGCTGCACATTTCGAGAAGTGACTGTATTCAACTCATCAGGTAGTGGTTATAATTAAGAATCCATGGGGTATTGGGCTTTATCCATCGTCCGGTGTTCTAGAAACTAGAGGACACAACGTTTCACAAACTGCATCTGTTTCCCTCTTCAGGTGATGCTCAGTGAAGTTACTCTTTCTAAGAGATTCAAATAACTGCATAGTGAGGAGCTTCGTAACTTGTATTCTTCTTCAAGTATAATTAGAATAATCAAGTCAATGAGGATGAGGTGGGCAGGGCATGTAGCACGAATGGCGGAGAAAAGCAATGCATTGGTGGGAAATCCAGAAAGAAAGAGACCACTGGAAAAACCAAGGCGTAGGTGGGTGGACAATATTAAAATAGATCTTAGAGAGATAGGATGGGATGGTGTGAATTGGATTGATCTGGCTCAGGATAGGGACCAGTGGAGGGCTCTTGTGAACACGATAATGAACCTTCGGGTTCCATAAAATGCTGGGAAATTATTAAGTAGTTGCAGATTTGACTTCTCCTGAAGAAGGGCTCACCTCAAAAAGTAAGTAAGAGATCCAACAGATTAGGTGTCTCCCTCCTTATCTGAGGACGGAAACAGATCCAGTTTCCGAAACGTCGTGTTCTCTACAAAGTCCAAAAGCCCAGTAATTCTGTTGTACGCCATTATGAGGATCCTTTAGGATCTGCTTGGTTGTCACGTTGACTCGTTTATTTCTTTTTGAGATCTGATGGGAATAACTGAGGGGCTATTTCAAGGAAATAGCGGCTCGGGTCTAGAAAACCGAAATTAACGGCTGTGGGGATCCGTTGTGCCTACTACGCGACACCCTCTATCCGCTAAAGTTGGCACTATCTTCGCCGCAAGCGGCGGTCGTTCGGTCGGTATATTTCGCTTGCAGACTCAAGCCACGGAGTTTGTCTGAGGTTCTAAGGACGATGACTATGAAGGTTATTTTCTTCTGGAATGTGACGTGTTGTTTAGCTACGTTGTGGCTCCATCTTCAGGGTTAAAAATGAAGGTAGTAGCTTCTTTCGAAACATCTGTGAACAGTTACCGGCTTACAAGACGTCACATACGAGGAAACAGAAACATTAAGTGTTATAATAAGAATAGTAGCTACAGTTAGGATCGAACTGTATAGGCCAGTGAGAACTGGTCTTTATATTCTTACTTCGAATCCATGATCATCTTCTTGTATCATTTTCACCACATAAAATCTACTATTGAATCGGCATCATAAAATAATCCGAGATTCATTCTTGTTCTTTGTGTGTGTAAATTATGTAGGCTTATGCTTTCTTTGTTTATTTAACAGCGTTTTCTCAACTGTTGACTCTGTATGCTGTCGAACTGGAGGGTAATCGTGAATAATTGATTGAAAAGATTGTGTAGTGCCGGTCACGGTAGCCGAGAAATCTAAGGCATGTACTGTCTTCGCTCGCTTGGAAACCGCGATCGTGGGTTCGAATCCCACTCAGGGCATGGATGTTTAGTTTGTGTGTGTGCGTTTTTCTGTGTTTGTGTATAGGTAGAGGCCTTGCGACGAGCTGATCACCCGCCCAAGGAGTCCTACCGAATGTGTAAGATCTAGAAAAACCGAAGTGAAGTTCATGGAGGTAGTCCTAGGCCCACTGGGGCTGTAGTGCCAAGGAAAAGAAAAGGTTGTGAAGTAAGCCTTCAACTACTGGCCTAGCTTAAATTTCATAGCTAACATAAAACATAAGACGCCGGGGTTTTAGTCCGCAAAGCGAACTATATCAACCGAGCGACCGCCGATTGTCGGCGAAGTTAGTGCCAACTTTAGCGGATAGAGGATGTCGCGTGGTCAGCGCAACGGATCCCCACGGCCGTTAATAACGAATATTAAGAATGAACATCTCCAAATTTCTATTACTGTTTTCATTTAAATTCCCCTCCCTGTACGAGGATACTACATAATGAATTCATTATCAAGAAAAAGAATGATTCTTAGCATGATAAAAATTGTTTTGAAACCGACGAATAATAAGCCTCCCCCCCTCCACACTTTTCACAAATTTCGTGTTATTCGATCATTAAAAAGTTAATTTAGTTCATATTTATTTTGTTGCTTTATCCGATTGGTTGCTTCCATAGCTAACATGACGCTGCACGGTTTTGTTAAAGAGACATGGACAGGTGCGCACGTGACAAAGTCGTCGTGTCCATCTGTGGAGTTCTTGCTCTGTAATGAATGTGTTGGCTAAACTTTATACGTTAAGTAATTAAGTGACGACTGGTTTTCCGAAATTAGGCTTGTCCACTGTGTTTGTGGACAAAGGACTTAGGAAAACATTTATATCTAGTAGAGAGAGAAGAGTGACCGCCTCTGTGGTCTAGTGATCAAGAGTTCCTGGCTACATATCCTGAAGCCCCAGTTTCCATTCCCGGCACTACGAGATTTTGTGAGAAGTTGTAGGTCTGGAACGGGGTCCACTCAGCCTCGTGAGGATAATTGAGGAGCTACTCGAATGGAAAGTAGCAGCTTCGGTCTTGAAAACTGAAATTAACGGCCGTGGGGATTCTTTGCGCTGACCACGCTACACCCTCTATCAGCTAAATTTTGCACTAACTTAGCCGACAAGCGACTGTCGCTCGGTCGGTATAGCTCGCTTGCGGACTAAAACCACGGAGTTTTTAAGGTTTAAATCATATGGCTTTCTTCTCTACAAAAGTAAATATTTGTACCACTTCACCTTTCACTGTGTACGTATATTTGTCTTTAATACACTTGTGGTATATTTCAGCTACAATAGGACAAAAGTTCTACTGAAGCATGTGTCTACCGTTTGTTTCAGACTATCCTGAACTCTATGCACAAATATCAGCCGAGGTTCCATCTGGTGAGAGCTAACGACATCCTGAAGCTGCCCTATAGCACGTTTCGTACGTACGTGTTCAAGGAGACAGAGTTCATAGCCGTAACAGCATACCAGAACGAAAAGGTGAGTCTGTAAAGAGATCTGTCTATCCTGCCACCTGGAATGAAGTTCTGCCCTGCTAGCCTCCGGAAATGCTATTCTCTTTTGCCAGTACAGCTATCTCTGTAACAGGCCGTGGTGACCCTAGGGTTGTGAGACGTCGAGGCTACCATATTTTCTACAGAGTCGGCTCATAGATGGTTGTGAAGCCTTATACGCCGGCAGATCTTTATCCCCAGGAAAATTCCTGGTGTTCATTTCTCTCAGACGCTGAATCGACCCCATGGCCATAGTGCGGCTGGAAGAATTAGGTAAATTAAAAATTCCAGTGACCTCATCCGGAATCGAACCCGCTATTTTCCGGCCTGTAGCCTAGTGTCTGAGCCAACTTCGTTACATTTTGCTAATATGTACAAATATTTGTCCATCCTGCCAACATCCAAGGAGTTATGTCTCTCCTACCATCCTATCTGAAAATTTTCTGTCTTGTCATTCCATTCAAATACTCCTGTTGTCTCCCAGCCGAAGGAGCCGTCAGCATGAACCATTGTCTGTCTTGACAGTCTGCAGGAACCTCTGTTTACATGAAGCCTTCTGTCTGGCTAGGCTACCAGAAGCTTCGCATATCCTACCAGTATTTATAAATTTGTCTATCTTGCCATTGTGTTCGTGTGTGTGAGAGAGAGGGATAGTGAGATTGAATGTGTGAAGAAGACTACTCTGCCTTGCAACTATGTAAAAAATGTTGTAGTGTTACGTAACGGACCTCCTAACGCAACAAAAGAGTTAAGCCATATTTTAACACTATGGCAGTTCTCCTGATTTTTAAACATTCTAGTAAACTGAAAACTTTATATATACGTAGTATATATAAGGAATTATTCAAGAGAGCACGCGGTAGCATAGTTGGTTGAGGCACTATGCTACGAGCCGGAAAACCGTGTGTTCGATTCCCGATGAAGCAATTACATTTTTCAATTAATTTAAGCCTTCAGCCCCACTATGACCTGAAGTCGACTCAGGCTCTAAAAGAAATGAGTACCAGGAATCTTCCTTAAGGGTAAAAGACGGCTGGCGTTTAAAGCTGACAACCTCACTGCCATCTGTAAGCCGATTGTCTAGAAAATGTGGGAACCTCGACATCTCACAACCCTTTGGGTCTCCACGGCCTGTTGCAGTGATATTACAAAGAATTATTATTCAAGGAAGTAAAAATATTTTCGATATCGGCACTTGTGTCGCAAAGGAACTGAAAGACAGTGGGCAGAGCGTCGGATTTAAGACCCCTTTAGCATAATTCCGACATGAGATGAGTAAGGGAGCTATAAAGTAATGTTAATGTTTAACATTGTCATGTTTCTATGTTTCTTGTCTCTGGTTCAAAATCGCAGTAAATGGGTTAAGAGGTATTGGTTAGTAATCTCAAGCCAAACAGGAGAGGGATAGCTATGAACTTCCCAAATAAACTCACTAAACTCACCCTGCTTTGTGCCATACATTTGTCCGCCACAAGAGGAGGGTACACGGATTAATGTAATGTTGGACTTTGTCCATCGCTCGGCATTTTAACGAACATTAAAAACACAGCGTTTCGGAAACTTGATCTGTTTCCGCCCTCAGATGAGGCAGTGAGAGATACATACTCAGTTGGGTCCTTAGAAAGGGTTAGTCGCGGACACTGGACCTGTTTCTAACGGACCAACAGGGCTTCACCCACTCCCTGATCTGAGAGCCGCAAGAGATACAGTTTTTGAAACGTTGTGTTCTTTAGAATATGGTACGACGGACAGAGTCCGAGAACACATTGCGATACATCATCGTCAGAACCCTGGTGGTTTCTCGAAACTGAGAAAAATTACGTTAGGGAATATTAAACTAGGTTCAAAATGACAGGTAGCAAGAATTGCTTGATTTTTATATCCTTAGTAAATGTTTATAAAAGCGGCCTCCGTAGTCTAGAGGTAACGTTCCCACCTCATGACTCGTGGTACGCGGGTTCAAATACCCGGCGGAGGTCGTCGAATTTTTAAGGGCGGAAAAATTCAGGGAACAAGTCCTCCGGGAGGGACTTTAAGCTGTGTGTCCCGTGTCGTAACTTTACGGCACGTAAAAGAACCTATTACCAAAGGGGATCACTGAGCCAGATTCCAGGACGTTTCCCGCCCAACAATAGCCTCTAAGGCCTCTGATAGATGGGGGAAGTATTATAGACACCTCTAAGCAAGTGGCCGAACTCGCTTCTTCGGCGGGACTGATGGTACGCACCATTTATCGGTAGGGTAAAGAGACTGGTAGAATATCATAGAGGGAAGCACAATAGATCAAACTGGTCGCGGTGCATGGGGAAACCCACCCTCTCTAAATAACTAACTAACTAAATGATTATAAAACCCCTTACCTCAAAACGGCTGCCACGCTCAAACAAAGACAAAATTTAAATTCAAGTCGATAAACAAGATAACAACAACAAGATAAACAAAAATACTACCATTGCTGTCATGAATCCTTCAAGGTCAGTGCTGTGATCATTAAAGGCGGGTGTCAAAGTTAGGGCCTAGTCCAAATATTGCTTACCCTTCGATTAGTAATCGAAAAACTGATCAATGAATCCATCAATTCATTTATAGGTTAATCAACGACCGTTTTCCAGTTTCGAAGTTGTTCCTTCGGCGTAGAATTACATTGGCGTTCTGTTCAGAAATAGCGAGTCGAAAAGGATGTAGAAGGATATGGCCTTGGCCTATTTTAATGTACTATCACAGCATTCCGCCGAAAAAGCTGAGAACAATTAGGAACACCTTCAGACAGGATAGCCGGAAATCCGCGCGAGATTGGACAACAAGCCGACATGTGCTACTGCCTCAACGATCAGTGTGCTTATTGTCGCTTCTGCTACATCTGTCAGCAATAAAAATGACATGTAACATATATGGAAGGGAGGACAGATACTTACAAATTCTAGTCCCAGAGCCGGAAGGAAAGACAAAGGCGTATGAAGGACAATAATATTAAAATGGATCTTACGGCGACAATATGCGACGATGTGGACTGTAATCAGCTGCTTCAAGATAGGGACTAGTGGCGGAATCTTGCGGAAACGACAATGAACCATCGGGTTTTATAAAATGAGTGTCGTTTCTTGATTATCTGAGTGATTGTAAGGTTCTTAATAGTGTCTCTTCTCCGTGGTATCATTTAACTTCTTATCTTATATAGTTTCTTAATTTGTAATTAATCTGATGCTGCAGTGTATTGTAATCAGGCCTCGACGTAAAGGATGCCGAATCTCTTCTTTGCCTCGTGATAAATTTGCATTAGTGTATTTGCTGACAAGAGATGGTGCTAGTGTCGCGTTGTAGAATTCATGACATGTCTCTGCTAGATGTTTTTATTATATGCTTCTTTAATTTGTGGTTTGTGCATAGCAGTGAAACAGCTACATAAGTCTGATGTCAACCAGCCCCTGTTTTTCGGATAAAATAATGTGTAATTAATAATACTGAGAAGAGGAAGAAATCTAAAAGGAAAGGTCGAAACATGTTGTAATAAGAACTGCACAAATAAACAAATGTTGATACTTCAGTATCTATTTTGACTTATTGAGTATTGTTGTTATTATTGTGTTGACTATCCAATTTGAAAGTTAGAAAATAAAGCATTGTGTTTTGTTGTAATTGTCCTGCTCTGATAATAATACTCTTCGACTGAAAGTGTTGGCTCAGGAAGTAATGTTTTGAAGTTTCCGGTTCGAATGTCAGCCAGAACACTGAATATCTTGAGGGTTTTCGTGGTTTTCTTTACTTTCTCAAGGAAAATACCAGGATAATGTACCCTAAACTGGTCACGACCACTTCGTTCTAGACATATAGATAGAGGTTGAGAAACGAAAACAAAATGGCTGAATGTCAGATTTTACGAAAGAGGAGTCAGTAGCCGGAAGCGCACAACACTGCACATTTAAGCGTTTAGAAAACAAGATGGACTCTTACTGTTAGACTTATTTTTGACGTTATCTGTTCTTTTTTGACTTCAGGGACATAACGCCGTGTAATCTTTTGACGTTCAACCGACGTTTCGGAGGCAGAAAAGTAGGCGAAGCAATAAACCAACATGAAGCAGGCAGCAAGCAGAGTTTGGTTTTCTTGTTGATTGACCTATTATTCTACCCTCATAATGCAAGCGGGAGTCATGTTGCTCCGAAACGTCGGCTGACTTTCAACGGACTACACGGCGTTATATTACAGAAATCAACCTCTGTGGGAACCTCAGCTCATTAATATTTTATCATAATGAGTTGTGTAGAGGCAAATGTTCGCTACATCGCTTCTGTCTTGTTTGCAGATTACGCAGTTGAAGATCGACAACAATCCGTTCGCGAAAGGGTTCAGGGACACTGGAGCGGGCAAACGTGAGAAAAAGTGAGTACACTCACATTCACAAAATTCATAATTTTGAAACCAATGGGACGAATGGTTTGGAGAAAACTTCATAACGAGGAGCTTCAAAACTTAAAGGAACTCTGAACTGACTCAATGTCTCTCACATTTTTATGTGTTCTCTCTTTGCTGGGTAAACGTGTCCACAGAGCTGTTCCCTAGCAACGGCTGCTGTTTAGCAGCCATTAATTCACAATGGATCTACATATCAAAGTAGTATATAAAATGTTTTCAAAATAATTTAAAATTATTTGTGTCGCATTCCTTTTCTTCTCTCGCGCGCGGCGCTGTGCATTTCGCGGAAGGGAACTTTCTTGCGTGTGTTCTGACGGCCAGTGTATGGATTATACATATAATCAGGTGATTAATTAATGGAGTAGGGTGCTCAAGTATAAAATATGTGCTAATAAATTTGAGGTTAAAACTGGCCAAAAGTTTGAAATCCTACCGTTGATGAATATGGTGATATAATATTGAATAACACAGTGTGGATACAATGTACAAGATGTACAAGTATGCAGTTCTTCGGCCATCGACGTTTTCTTCATGTATATAAGAATATATTTCATATCACTAACTCGCTCATGGAGCTGAGCCCTTCTTGAGAAACAGCCAATTGTGCAGCTACTCAAGGATTTCCCAGAATTTTATAGAACCTGAAGGTTCATTACCGTGTTCACAAGAGTCATCCACTAGTCCATATTCTGACCCAGATCAATCCAGTCCATACCATCCCAGCCTATTTCTCAAAGATCCACTTTAATATTATTCATCCACCTACGCCTTGGTGTTCCTAGTTCCTTTTGACTTTCCCACCAATATCCTACATGAATTCATCCAACCCTTCTTCTTCTTCTTCCTCCTCCTCCTCCCCCTCCTCCCCATTCGTGCTACATGCCCATCCCATCTCATCCTCCTTGGCTTGATCATTCTAATTTTACTTGGAGGAAAGCACGATTTATGAAGCTCCTCATTATGCAATTGAAGCAAACGTGTACAAAGACAAAAAACTCAGAGCAAGAAACGATATAATATTCCTGTGGTTCTGTACTTAGTAACCCCTGATTGCATTAATCAAATGCCTGGACCCCAAGACGGATCTTAGAATATTATAATCTTAATCTTAATGTTCCTAATGAATGAGCCCTTTGCACCATTTTGTTTGTCATATAAACAAACTTAGTTTCAGTTGGCTCAAAATACAAATAGCATCAATAGGTACCATTTTATACTACCCCTCGTTTGCTGTTTGCTACCCCTAGAGGTGAGAGCCTGAGTAACGTTGCAGTAATGAAAATATCACAAGAACGACGCCCTGGTTTCCTGGTAGAACATAAATACTGAAGTAATCACGTTTTGTATATGAAATACAGATATAACTGTAACTGTAAAAATAGATGTTAATTACTAATTCGCGAATCATAAATTATGTTTCTGACGGGTATAAAATATAAAAACGATAAATCTATCCCTGTAACAGGCCATGGAGGTCCATAGGGTTGTGAGACGTCAAGGCTCGAACATTTTTCTAGACAATCTCATCACAGATGGGGTTGAGGTTGTCAGTCTTACGCACTGGCAGCCCTTTACCCCCCAGGAAGACGCCTTGTAGTCATTTCTGTTAGAGACTGAGTCGACCCCGGGGTCATAGTGCGGCTGGAAGGATTAGGTTAACTGAAAAATCCGGTTACCTCTTCTAGAATTGAATCCTTGACCTTCCGGCTTGTGGCATATTGTAACTGTTCTTTCGAGGTACACGTGCAAAGCAATTGGCCTCTTATTTGGCAGGTAATTGAAAATGAACAACTTTTCACACAAGTAAAATTGATGAAGTGTGATATTTTCTGCATTCCTGAGTCAGTCATATTCACGAAACTTTACTGCTACATCGCCCATATTCCATGATCTTTCATTACTCAGTAAACTGACGGTACAGAGGGAATTGTCACAGTTTAGCTCCCGGGAAAGACCGACACCAGACCCAGAAGAGCTTCGGGTTTCAGTGAAACTTCTCTCCGTAACGCCAAGGTAGCGCACGCACCTCTCGAAACCAATCACTCTCCACTTTATCTAGCCTAGTCAAACGGGTATAAATGTTACGTTTCTTTCTTTGCCTCGATGAAAGTTGCTACATGTGTGGTCGAAGGCTTAGTCCATTCTTTCCCGTTAATGTCTGTAAAGAGGATTACATGTGTACGTAGTTGTACTGAACATGGCCGTCAAAGATTAAAAGCCCGCAAATTGGTTTAGAACAATACCCGCCCCTGTCTCCTTTTGCTGTTTGGTTGTCTGTGTAAAAGCATTCTTCACATAACTGTACCCTAGCACAGCTAAGCCCGGATTATGAGAGCCCTGTCTAGTGAGGATACATGTCTGTACCAAGGCTCTGACTCATGGAGTCTTTTGAACCCACAAAATAAGCAGATTCAACACAAATTTATTATTTAAAGACACCGTATTGACGACATGTTTCGACCATTTCGTGGTCATCATTAGATGAATAGCAAACCTAATGATGTAACACAAATATTATTATGTACCACATAAAACGTTATATAAAAATATGTGAGTAAATTATTGTCACGTGTTTCAGTGACTAAAGACGGAGTTTGGATTTGTAATAACATTAATTGAACACTTACAACTCGTAACTACAAGTAAGGATTATGCTCTCATTGTTCTACACATTTCACAAATCACTATATGACACACTAGGTCTTCTCAGTCTTACAGTCTTCAATAGCCGTTGCTTGGTAGCGGCTTCCTCTTGCGGACGTTCCCCTTCTTCTGGGTCCCCGAACTGTCCCCGGCCTCAGCTACCAGCTTCTCACAGCAACAGCTCATAACAACTCCGTTCTTTTCCTCTGTATTCACTTGATACGTGCTTTCCAAATCCTTCCCTGCATACAATTGTTTATGTATTTTGGGGAGCCTCATTTCACGCTATGGATCTGTGACGCCTGTAGCCAAAATTACGTCGTTATATTAATGTCCTAAGAATCGCTAAAATGAACTGCGCCTATGATACAGGCGCTAGAATTTGTTGCAGCTTAAGTCTTACAAATGTAATCTGTATCCTTCCGCGGTTGTCACTGCTGAAACTAAGCTACAGACTCAAAGCTGCCCGATAAATCGTTATTTGTGTTAGTACGCATAAAGAAAGCCTGACTGGATCAATTAGTATTCAGTGCTGCCAATCTTTGTTCCACTGCCGCTCAACAGAATGCTAGTTGACTGCCGCATTTTTATAGCCCCGGACCCAGCTGCGACATTGGCTGCAAGGTACTTACCCGTGATCGTCAATCTTACCCTAGATCCACAACCGGACCGAAGTAGGACTCAGACAGCAGGCACATACAGGAATGAATTAACCACTTCACTAAAACAAAGTTCAAGTGAGGAACAAACAATGAACATACTGCATTTGCTTGCTTATTTAAATGTGGTAAAGTACAATATAATCACAGCTTTTTAAGAACGCTGGAGTCATGACACTATTTATTATAACTTGTTACCAATGTTACGAGAATATACATTCAGCCAAACCAATAGTAACAGATGGCGGTCAGGTGAGCCTTACGCTCCGGCCGCACTTTACCCCCAGGAATATTCCTGGTACTCATTTCTGTTAGAGGCTGAGTCGACCCCAGTGTCATAGTGTGGCCAGAAGGATTCGGTAAATTGAAAAAAAAAATCCACCTCATTGGGACTCGAACCAGCGACCTTCCGGCTTGTAGCATAGTGCCCCAACCAAACCAGTAGTAGGTATTAATATTATTTTCAACTCAAATGTCAGGTCTAGGAAACCGAAATTAACAGCCGTGGAGATTCGTTTTGACACACTCTATCAGCTAAAGTTGGCACTAACTTCGCCGACAAGCGGCGGTAGCTCGGTCGGTATAGTTCGTTTGCGGACTAAAGCCACGGGGTTAGTTTTTTTCAACTCATCTGTTACCAGCCAAGTAATTGGCATGGAGTACAGTCCTTAAGATGCTAGTAGGCTCTCAGCGAGACAAGAAATTCGTCTCCTTTCATGGAACCGGTTTCTCTGAGCCCGGCGCTCGTTCCTAGGCATAGCTAGATGAAGCCAATCTGTGTACTCCGATCCTGTTACTTTACGATACTTTTCATTATTACCATCCCATATACGTGTATGGATACTTTTCTTTTCAAATTCTCTCTCTACCTCAGGATATCTGGGGGCACGCATTAGCATAGTTGTCTTAGGCACTATGCTACAAGCAGGAAGGTCACGGGTTCGATTCCCGATGGGATCATTAAAGTTTTCAATTGACCTGATCCTTCCAGCCGCAATATGTCCTGCGTTCGACCCAGCCTCTAACAGAAATGAATATCAGGAATCTTCCTGGTGGTAAAGGGCGGCCGGTGCGTAAGGCTGACAAGCTCATCGCCATCTGTGAGCCGATTGTCTAGAAAGTGTGTGAACCTTGAAGTCTCATAACTCTGTGGGCCTTCACGGCCTGTTACAGGGATAGCTTTACTTTTACCTTTGCTCCAGGATATCTCTTCTCAGGCAGATGCATGTCACAACGAGCAGAACATTTGACTCCTGCAATGAATAGTTCTGTAAGGGCCAGGAATGAAGGGAGGTAGTGAAGTAGGACTAAAACAAAGGAGAGAAACGAGTCCATGGTTGTTATAGGGAAACCGTGTTCGCAGGTGAAGGGGGAGACCGGACGCAAAGGAGTGGGGGTGAGTAAGAAAACGCGAATAAATTGAAAGATCATCCGCGAAATATCAATAAAAATAAGAAAAGAAGAGAAACCAACAATAAAAAAGGGAATTTTGTAAAGGAGGGAGTACTGAAGGAAAGAAATAATGAATTAATCACAATAAATGCTGAAATGGTAAATTAATTCTAGGCACAGATACAATGCGAATGCAGTACCTGAGAAGGAAATTATTTTCTTTCCAGTTTTCCCGCCCTCTGTGTACCTGTATCCCATAGCATATGGTTCTAT